GATCTTTCTTCCCCTGGGTCTTCTTGCCAGGCCCGGAGCACCTGGGGGCGGGACCCTGGCAGAGTTACTCTGTGTCCCCCAGGGGGCGCTCAGTAACCATCTCTGAAGTGGGACTTCCATTTCACGAAGAAGCTGAGGCTCGCATTGGAACCCAAGGCTCTGTCTCCGGCCCCTCCCACAGGCCAGGAGTCTCTCTGGGGGCTCCGGGAGGGGCTCACCTGGTTGTTGGACAGCGGCGACGGGAAGTGGTGCGTGTGCAGGTTCTTGCCGGTGAGCACGTGCGTGAGCCGCACGGCCTGCCCGCAGCGCACCGGGGACCCGCGCGGGCACCCGCCCTCCGAGCCGCCGCGGATCCGCCAGTAGCTATTGGCGTCGTCGGATGCCTCCACGCCGGTCACGGATTGCTGGCCGCTACCTGAGGAGTGACACCCCCCCCACACCCCACCCAGGGTCTCTGTCAATCGCGGAACCACGGGACTCTCGCCCTGGGACCATAACATTTACCGGGGGACCCCAACATCTCACCCCAGCCCCGGCCCCCATCTGACACCCCCCTCAGTCTTTGGGCCCACAGTTTCCCGACAACTGTCCCCGCCCTCAATATCGTCGACACCCTCAAAGCCTTGCACCCTTCGATCCCCCAACGACTCTAGAGCCCCCGCCGCCCGGCTCCCAGACGGGCCACAGACCCCCCACGACGACCCAGTCTCCACACTCCCGACCCCGAGCTCCCGTCCCCGGCGCTCTCCCAGTCGCGGGCCCCACGCACCGGATCCGTATTTGATGTCGTGCGAGTGCAGCCGCACCCGATGGTGCGTATTGAGCAGCTTCAGCACCGACCCGCAGGTCACGAGCCCCGCGCCGGTCTTGGCTGCACCACCGCCGGGCACTAAGAGTGCCAGTAGCAGCCCCAGCAGCACCGGCCCGGTAGCCCCGCGGCAGCCCGCGCTCCACATCTCCTCTGCCAGGCTCCAGCCGCTCCGGCCCTTGGGCCGCTTCCGTCCCCACCGCGGCCCAATCCGGCTCTGACAGCGGCCGGGCGCGGCAGCCAATGGTCGGCCCGCGCGGTGCTCCGCTTGCAATGCCATTGGGTCGGTGCGCAGAGGGGCCGCCTCCGGCTCTCGAGAGGAGTAGCTGGGCGGGGACTGGAGACAAGAGGAGGGTTTTGATTGGTCCACGCTTCCGAGGACTTACCAATGAGTGTCCAGGGAAGGGCGGCTAAGTAGCCAAGCGGCGGCAAGTGAGGGGGAGCAGTTAGTGAGGACGCCGACCCCAGCAGCCACTCAGTCCCTGGACACCGGCTCAGGATCCTAGGGCTCTGCAGGCACGTTCACGACGCCCTTGATCCTGGACTCTTGGGTCCTCAGTATTGAGTCTCTCCCCTCAGAACCTGGGCCCGCACGGGCAGGGTCTTAAGGTTGTTGGATCACTAAACTTTGTAGTCACAAAGTCAGTCACTGAATCTCCTGGTCCTTCAGTCCCTGGACCCCGAAATTAATGAAACCCCCAGTCATTCGGCTCACTGAAACCTCTGCTTCCTGGGTTCAAGCGATTCTTCTGCCTCAGTCCTCTGAATAGCAGGGATTACAGGCATGTGCCACCACACGGGGCTAAAGTTTGTATTTTTTTTTTTTTTTTTTTGAGACGGGGTTTCGCTCTTGTTACCCAGGCTGGAGTGCAATGGCGCGATGTCGGCTCACCGCAACCTCCGCCTCCTGGGTTCAGGCAATTCTCCTGCCTCAGCCTCCTGAGTAGCTGGGATTACAGGCACGCGCCACCATGCCCAGCTAATTTTTTGTATTTTTAATCGAGACGGGTTTCACCATGTTGGTCTGGCTGGTCTTGAACTCCTGACCTCAGGTAATCTACCCGCCTCAGCCTCCCAAAGTGCTGAGATTACAGGCTTGAGCCACCATGCCCGGCCCATTCAACGAGTCTTTATGGATCTGACTCCAAAACACATTTCAAGGCATCTCTCCTGGGTCCCTGATCCAAGCCCCTCCATCACCCATTCACATATCGACCACTGCCTCCTAATAGGTCTCCCTGCTTCCATTATGATGCTGGCCCCTGCAAGGCAGTCTCTACACAGGAAAGTGGAAAAGAGGGCTGGGCGCAGTAGCTCACGCTTCTAATCCCCGCACTTGGGGAGACCAAGGTGGGCAGATCACCTGAGGTTAGGACTTCAAGACCAGCCTAACATGGTGAAACCCCATCTCTACTTTAGAACAAAATACAAAAATTAGCTGAGTGTGGTGGCACGCACCTGAAGTGTCAGCTACTCCGGAGGCTGAGGCAGGAGAATTGCTTGAGCCAAGGAGGTGGAGGTTGCAATGAGTAAATATTGTGCCATTGCATTCCAGCCTGGGCAACAGGAGTGAAACTCTGTCTTTTAAAAAAAAAAAAAAGTGGGCTGGGGTCGGTGACTCATGTCTGTAATTCCAGCACTTTGGGAGGCCAAGGCAGGTGGATCACAAAGTCAAGAGTTTGAGACCATCCTGGTCAATATAGTGAAACCCTGTCTCTACTGAAAATGCAAAAATTAGCTGGGCATGGTGGTGCATGCCTGCAGTCCCAGCTACTCAGGAGACAGAGGCTGGAGAATTGCTTGAACCCGGGAGGTGGAGGTTGTGATGAGCTGAGATCACACCACTGCACTCCAGCCTGGGCAACAGAGTGAGACTCCATCTTTAAAAAAAAAAAAAAAAAAAAAATCCAGGTGCAGTAGTTCACGCCTGTAATCCCAGCACTTTGGGAGGCTGAAGTGGGCAGATCATCTGAGGTCAGGATTTCAAGACCAGCCTGTTCAACATTGCAAAACCCTGTCTCTACTAAAAAAACAAAAAAAAAATAGTGGACGTGTGTGGTGGCTCATGCCTGTAATCCCTGAACTTTGGCATGCTAAGGCTGGCGGATCATTTGAGGTCAGGAGTTCGAGACCAGCCTGGCCAGCATGGTGAAACCCTGTCTCTAATAAAAATACAAAAAGTAGCCAGGCGTAGTGGCGGGTGCCTGCAGTCCCAGCAACTCAGGAGGCTGAGGCAGACTCGTTTGAGGCCAGGAAGTGGAGGTTGCAGTGAGCTGAGATAACACCACTATACTTCAGCCCGGGCGACAGAGCAAGGCTGCATCATGTTTTGTTTTTTTTGTTTGTTTGTTTTTTGAGACACAGTGTCACTCTGTTGCCCAGGATGGAGTGAAGCGGTGGGATCTCGGCTCACTGAAACCTCTGCTTCCCGGGTTAAAGCCATTCTCCCGCCTCAGCCTCCCAAGTAGCTGGCATTACAGGCACCTACCACCACACCTGGCTAATTTTTATATTTAGTAGAGATGGGGTTTCATCATTGGCCAGGCTGGTCTCCAACTCCCGGCCTCAAGTGATCTGCCCATATCAGCCTCTTAAATTGTTGGGATTACAGGCATGAGCCTGGCCAAGACTTCCTCTTAAAAATAGGTAAACAAATAAATGAAACGGAGGCTGAAATCTCAGGACAAGAAACCTGTGTCTCAGCAACACAGGCTTTATTTCTGTGTCTTTCACTGGCTCCCCTGAGAGTCTCAGCAGAGCTCCTTGCAGGCATTCAGCCCATGCTGACTCCTGCTCAGGGCAGGGGCTGGTATGATGAGCAGCAACTCTGACAGAGCAGGGAATCAAGTGGCCAGTGGGGACGTCAAGACGGGTCACTGCGGCCCAGGTCCACAGGGTGGCTGACCGAGGCCTCCTCTCCAGGCTCTGGGAGACTCTGGACTCCATCCTCATCCCCCTCCTCATCCTGCTCCTCATCCTCGTACTCATCCTCATCTTCATCTTCAAGCTCGATCTTATCATGGCCCTCACTGTCCATGTCCTTGGACCTGGGGGGACTGGAACCCATGCCAGTGCGGGCGGACACTGACAGCCTGGGCTCCAATGGGCTGAGCTGTCGGCTGGCTGGCAAGTCGGTGTAAAGAGAGTGGCAGGGGTCTGTGGTCTGGTCCTGGGTGGCGTAGGTGGCCAGCTCCTGCTGCACAGGGGGTGTCTCTGGGCTGTGGTGGGAGGTGCTGAGCGGGAAGTCCTGCCGGGCCCTTTTGACCTCCTCCAGCTTACGCAGCAGGCAGCTCAGATGGGTCTCCGAGGACTGGTGGATGCGGGAGCCTTTCACCTTCTTTAAGCCCAGGGAAAGGTCCCTGAGCACTTGGGTGACGGGTAAGGAGAAGAAGCCCAGCTGCTTATTGAGGTCCTTTTCAAATTCATACTTGCAGATGATCAGGGAGGCTGCCTGCTGGGTGAGGAAGTCAACGAGCTCCTCGTAAGAGCGGTTGGAGAAGTGGGACATGCTGGACTTCGACGAGATGGAGGGCAGTGGCTTCTTCTTTGTGAACTTGCTGCCGATGGGGCTCTGCATAGCAGCCAGGGAGGGAAAGGGACACATGTCACACCTGGCGGCCCCATCCCTCCTGCCATCCAGTGACATCCCTCCCAGCCACTGTGCCCTTCTCAGAGCCCTGCCAACCCTGCGCATCACAAACATGATTGGGCATACTTGGTGTGACAAACACACTTGTTACACGAAGGGTACAGCCTTGCCACATCTGCTATGCTGTCGCACTCAGCTGCCCACTCTGCTCACCTCACCATCACACCTCCTACACCTGTTGGGCCTGGGGCAAGGGCAGGGACCTGTCACAGGGTGAGCCTAATCTGAGCCTTGACAGCCAGGTTCCAGCAGGCTCCCGCCCAGACCTGTGCTCAGAGAGAAGCTTGCAGGGGCCTTGAGTTGAGGGACTGCTAGAGACCCACCAGGGTGAGGCCACCGACGTCTCGTACTCAACCCCTGTGTACACTTCCCCTTGGCAAACTACAGCGACTGGAGAGTACTGCTCAAGGCAGCTGGATTCCAGGGAGCAAGACCTCGGAGGCAAGGCCCCGGCCCGGCTAGGGCAGCTGTCCACAAGAGACAGGGCCCTTCATCCCCACGTAGGAGGGTCTCTGAGATTCATAAACAAACGTTCGAAAAATGCCCAGCATAAAAAATAGCCTTTATTCATCTGTGATAACACCTGGTAATAGCTAGGCCAGCATTCCTGGGCTCCCATCAGTTTAGTCCCTGTCCAGATTTCCACAGTGCAGGGCAAGAGACCTTGGTCTTGAGCACCTGCCAGTGCCAGTGGCTGCTAGGAGAGGTGGGCCCAGGGAGTCCTTCTCCTGCAAACTCATGCCTGGTCCTACTTTCGAGGAGGTCACCTCCAGATAGTGAGGCGGGAGATAAGGCAACTGAGAAGAGCTTGGGGAGAAAGTAGCAGGAAGAGTGGGGACAGGGGAAGGCAGACGGAGGTGTGACAGGGCCCCTGAGGTGGCCCTGGCTGCAATCCACCTCCACCACAATTCCAGGGGCAGGCAGAGTGAGGTGCAGGCCCCGCCAGGGCTTGGCCCTCTGGCTGGAGCTCAGGGAAACAGGTGGGTTTTGTAATTTGGGATCTGAGTCAGGCACCTCTTTCCTGGAGTAGAGTGAGGAACTGGGGACATTGGGCTTCTCCGTGGGTGTCACCTTGAGCTTGAATCTGGTGGCCACCTGGGCACTAGACATGGAGGGGTAGCCTCCTCTGTCCTTGTGTTTTCTGTGAGGCATCTTGGGGCTGGAGGCTGTGGGATGGAGGGAAGCATGGGGCTGCCCCGTGTTGGTGGGATTGGTCGGCTCAGAGCCCAGAGGCTGCAGATTGCTCTGTCCCTGCAGCTCTGAGGTGGGCTCCAAGCTGGTGGGGAACAGAGGGCGGCCATCACAGCAGCAGGCATCACGGAGCTTGTCCACAGCCTGACTGACCACGCTCTGCAGGGCGGGGAACAGGTGGTGCTCGGCCAGGAAGTTCAGCATGCGGTGGGGCTCACGGAGCGGACAGTAGCCAGGCAGGTCGAGGGACTCCAGCTGGCTCAGTAACGACTTCAGCTCCTTGTTGAACTCCTGCTTGTGGAAGATCCGTTCCCGTTCTCCAGGCCTCAGCTCTGATGCTTCAGGCATGCCAGAGCTTGAGCCCAGCAGCCCTGAGAACCAGGATGGGGACTGCTCCTGGGTCCACTGGCAGCTGGTCTGGCTGCCCAGCGAATCCCACAGCAGGGAGTTTCTCTGAGTGCAGGACTGATTGAGGCCTTTCTGCAGAAAGAGGGTGATTCTGAGAAGTGACTCTGACCCTGGTCCTGGGCTCTCCATGGGAGTCCACCCCACCCAGCCACGGCCCAGCTCTTACCCCTTTCCTCTCCAGCTGTAGCAGCCGCTTGAGGTTCTTCTCCAGCAGGAGTTTGTCCCTCACAGGTGGCAATGAGCCTAAGCCTTGGGCCCCCAGGTCACTGTCCCTGACATGGGGGCCCAGCCAGCCAGCCATGAGGCTGCCATGAGAGTCAGACATGGAGCTGGAGCTGGATGGGTAGTTGTTGGGGTGTCCAGTGCAGAGGCTTGGCTGTGCACGGTGCCGGTGCACAGTGCTGAGGCTGGGCCGGGCACGGGCCCGCCGCCTACCACTTGGCACCTCCACTGGGTCCTGCACCTCCACCAGTGGCACCCCAGCCTCCGTCTTCATGGCAGCCATGCGCTCGGTCGCCTCCTCCACCACTGTCTCCAAGCTGTCCAGGACCTGGCTTTCAGTCAGGAAATCCAGAAAGTGGCCAAAGGGCTGAGGGTGCCTCTTGTTTCGGCGTTGGCCCTGGAGCACTGAGCTGCCACATGTGGATGGTGGGTGTGGCACATGGCCCAGCTTGGAGGCTGGCCCCATTTCTGGGACCAGTGGCTTCTTGGGTGGCTGCACCTGGGCAGACGGGCATGTCACAGTGGGCAGGAGTGCCCTACAGATGAAGGTTCTCTGGGGTCCTCCTAGGGTAACACTAGGAGCTAGGTGGGAGTGAGTGGTGGAAGAAGCTGCATTTTGGAGTCTGGAGCCCTGGGTTTGGACTGTGGCTCTGCCACCTACAGACTGATGACAGGGTGCAAGATGGCCCCTCTTGAGGTCCAATTTCCTCATCTGCAAAGTGGAGGTCTATTCAGGGTCACCCTGAAGCTTTCCTAACACTTGCATTTCACACACACAAGTGCTGGCT